CCTCCACAGTGGGAAATGCTAAGGAGAGAGGAGGGAAATGCTGGATTTGGGTGTCTTCAGATGGAATTGCTCCAGCTTTAGGAGTTTTTTTCTCTAAATAAATGTTTCTGTCCTGGAGACACCGAGCTGATGGGGGCAGTTCAGAAAATAAAAATCTTCTGGAATCCTACTGGATTTCTAGTCCCCAAAAAGTTGATGTTATGGGAAATTCTCTCATTTGCCCCTAATAATCAGATGGGAAATGCTTCCACCATTCTCTGCTTGAGGTGGTGCATCACCATCCTGGAGGTTCATTGGTACCCCACATCTCCATCCTGAATCCAGCATCTACATCCTGCACTCTGGATTCTGCATTCCATTCCTTCTATCCTAGAGCTGCACCCTCCAACTGCATCCTGCTTTTGCATCCCACACCCATTCCCTGGATCAGCATCCTGTGGCTGCCTCCTGCATCCCAAATCCTTCATCTGCACCCTCAGCCCTGCACTCCATGTCCTGCATCTGCACTCTGCATCCCTCACCCTGCACCATGCACCCCACTTCTCACACCCTGCAGCTGCATCCTGCATCCCAAATCCTGTATCTGTACCCTGTGCCCTGCATTCCACACCCTGCATCTGAACTTCTCATCCCACATCCTGCCCTATGCATCCCGCTTCTTGCATCCTGCACTCTGCATGCTGATCCTTGCATGCCAAATCAACATCCCAGATCCTGCATCTGCACCATGTCCAGCATGTGCAACCTCCATCCCACATCCTCCATCTGCACCTGCATCCAGCCCCCCCCTACACCTGCACCTTGTCCTGCACCTACACCCCAAACTCTGTGTTTGCATTCCACACATTCCCACCCCCTGCATCCCACATCTCCATCCCATCTCCCACATCCCCATCCTGCTGCCTGGATCCTGAGGGCACCAACAACCCCTGTAGGTCCAGTTGGCCTCACCAGGAGCTCCCACCCTGCCCAGGGCCCTGGGTAAGTTTAGCTCAGGGTCCTTACTGGGGCACACTGGGCCATACTGGACCGTGGCCCTATAGCTGCACCCTGGCTGTGTCTCATTGTCACCTCCCCCAGCCACAGGATAAAAGCTGAATTGAATGAAAGCCGTTTTTGAGGCTGGATTGGTCCCATCCAGTCCTTCCTTCCCACTGCTCCTGGTGCCATGCAGGCCTTTCTCCAGAGCAGGTGTGATATGGTAGAGCTGCATTCCCAACCTGGCCTGCCCACAGGGAGTGGGGAGCTTTCCCATCCACAGGGGCTCTGTTCCCCTCCCCAGCACATCTGGCAAGCAGATGTGGCCAAAGGCCAGGATCTGCCTCCCAGATGGGGGACGAGCTGCAAAATGTCTGAATGGGCTTGGAAAGAGATAATTTTTTCCTTGGAAGTTTGCATTTCCCGGCTCGTTGCACGCACTCCCCATCTCCAGGGGTGCTGCAAAGTCCCTGTGCAGAGCTGGGGCTGAGCTCTGGTGCTCTGTGCTGGAACATCCCTTGTCCTGCACCTCCATCCCATATCTGCACCCTAAATCCCACTCCTGCATTCCATGTCCTGCATCCACATCCCATCTCCTGTGTCCCACCTCTGCATCCCAAATCCCTCTTCTGCAACCCATGCCCTGTACATCCTTCATCTGTATCTTCCATGTCCCTCACCACCTGTTCTATCTCCCACCTCTGCATCCCAAATTCTACTTCTGTACCCCATATTCTGCATCTGCCCTTTCATCCCATGTCCCGTGTCCTGCATCCCACATCTGCAGCCCCTCTCCTGTGTCCTTCATCCATGTCACATGTTCTGTGACTGGAAAGCTGCATCTGCCTCCTAAATGCTCCACCCTGCATCTGGGAACCTGTGTCTACATCCTAAATTCTCTGTTTCCTAAATTCCTGTCTGCATCCTGAATCCTGCATCCCACATCCTAAAGGCTCCTACAGTCTCTCCTGTGCCCTACATCTGGCACCCTGTATGTGCATCCCAAGTCCTGTGTGTCCCATCTGCATCCTGAATCCTCCATCCTGTGTTCTGCATCTACATCCTAAATCCTTGATCCCCCATCCTGCATCTATGTCCTGAATCTTATATCCTACACCTGCATCCTAAATCCTTAATCTTGTGTTTATATTCTAAATCTCATGTCCTCATTTACATTTCAAATATTCCATTCCAGACCTGCATCCTGGCTTCTCCATTCTGTGTCCTGCACCCTCTGTCCCCCACCTGCATCCTCAATCCTCTATCCTGCATTTACATCCCCAGTTCTCTGTCCCACATCTGCATTCTAAGTTCTCCATCCTGCATTCTGCACCTACATTGTGAATCCTCCATCCACCATCCTAAATCCTATATCCCACATCTCTATTTTTAAGTCCTGCATCCTAAATCCTACATCTCAAATCCTATGTCCCACTTTTGCATCCCAAGTTTTCTGTCTTGCATCCTGCACCTACGTACTAAATCCTGTGTCCCCATCTAAATCCTAAATCATCCAACCACCATCCTCCATGTATGTCCTAAATCCTGTGTTCCATATCTGCATCCTAAGTCCTCCATATCTACATCTGGAATCCCAAGTCTCCAATACCTCCTAAGTGCTCTATCCCACATCTACATCCTCAGTCTTCTATCCCACAATTGCATCCTGGAGCCTCCATCCTGTGTCTTGCATCTTCATTCTAAATTCTATGTTCCATATCTGCATCCCAAGTTCTCTTGGGATCTGTCCCAGATCCTGTATCTATGTCCTAAATCCTATGTCCCACATCTACATCCTAAATCTTGTGTTCCACATCTGAAGCCTGAAAGCTGCACCTGTGTCCTAATTCCTACAACACCATCTACATCCTAAATCCTCTGCTGCGTCCCATGTCTAAATCCTAAATATTCTGTTTTGCATCCTGAATCTACATCCTAAATTCTGCATCCACAGCCTAAATCCTAAGTCCCATATCTGCATCACAAATTCCATTTCACATCCTGCATCTACATCCTAAACCCTCCATCCTGTGTCTACATCCTAAATCCTACGTCCCACATTTGAATCCCAAATTCTGTCCCACAACCAACATCTAGATCCTAAATCCTCCAACCCCCATTTTCCATCTGTGTCCCAAATCCCGAATCCCACATCTAAATCCTAAATACTCTACCCTGCATCCTGGATCTACATCCTAAATCCTGCATTCACAGCCTAAATCCTGAGTCCCATATCTGCATCATAAATTCCATTTCACATCCTGCACCTACATCCTAAACCTCCATCCCAAATCCTATGTCCCACATTTGAATTCCAAATTCTGTCCCACAACTAACACCTAGATCCTAAATCCTCCAACCCCCATTCTCCATCTGTGTCCTAAATCCTAAACACTCTACCCTGCATCCTGGATCTGCATCCTAAATCCTGCATCCATAGCCTAAATCCTAAGTCCCATATCTGCATCATAAATTCCATTTCACATCCTGCACCTACACCCTAAACCTCCATCCCAAACCCTATGTACCACATTTGAATCCCAAATTCTGTCCCACAACCAACACCTAGATCCTAAATCCTCCATGCTCCATGTCCTAAATCCTACATCCCATCCCTGAACCCTCCATCCTGCATCCAGCACCGCATCCCCAACTCTGCATCCCAAACTCCGCTCCCAGGATGCTGCCAGGAGCTGAGGGCTGGCAGAACCCCCTGTGCCCACTGGAGAGCCATGAATTTGGGATGAGGAGGGGGCAGCAGCCCCCAGCCCGCCCCGGCCGTGCTGTTGGTTTTGGGATTTGCCACGCTCCGGTGCCTCCGAGCGCGCCGGGTCCCCGGCGGGGCCGCACAAAGGGCGCTTTCAGCACAGCCCCCCCCGCCCGGCCACAGAGCAACACAAACCTTTCATCCCCCTCGAGTTTCCCCCACAGACCCCGAAAGAGGAAAATAATCCTCTCCACGGAGTTAAAAATCCAAAAGGAGCCTAAAAATTGGGGTTGAAAGTGATTCCCATGGGAATGGAGCTTGGTTAATGCACGAGACCGCGGTGGAGCAGAGGCAGCGTCCAGCCTCCCCTGAAGCATCCTGGGGAGGAGGGGATGTGCTCGTGACCCCCCAAAATATCCCATTTACAGCAGGTAACAGGTGAAAAATTAATTTGTTTTGACAGCAAGACCTACTCATGCAACGAGTTGTGTCCAGCCTCATACCCCTCCACAGCCCTCCCTTCCCGAGGCATTCCCAAAGATTTTCTTTTTCATGCCCTTAGAAATATAAATTCCTGGGGGGAATGAACCAGAAAACCTTGTATTCAGCCTAATTATCCCCCCTGGCCGCAATCTGTGATCTCTGGGACAATTAAAAGTGCTTAATCCCAGCTGAAAAGCAAACAAGGTCGGAGCGCGGCGTCTTCCTGCCTTCCCTCGCCCGCTGCCGGGGTCTCGCTCCCCAGCTGCAATATAAATATGCAATTAAAAAATCGCCGCTAATTGCTTTGCCCAAGGGGGGTTCCCACCAGGGAAACAAAAAGGCTGGGGAAAGGGATCTTTAAAAAATAATAATTTAAGAAGGGGTAAACAAGTAAAAAATGCATTTTTTTTAGCCCAATGATTAAACACTGATGCAGTTTTAGGGAGGAATTGTGGTGATATCTCAGGGTTTGCACCCTGGGGTGGGGTTTTTTTTTGGGGGGATGCTCTTTTTGGGGGGGATGGGGTTAATCCCTGGCTCTCCTCTCTCGCTCCAGCGCTAACAACCCCTGGCAGCTCTCGGGCTCGTTAGTCCTTCCGAAAAGCAATTAGAGAGGTTGGAAAATGAGGGCAGCCACTGCCCTGAGACAGGGCAGGAATGGGGGCGGGGGGGGGGGGGGGGGGGTCAGCTCCCAGCCCTTGGGGCGGGTTTAGGGCTCGGCAGAGATCCCGCAGTGGGATTTACCCCGGATGAGGAAAGATGCGCCATCAGCAGGTTTCAGAGTGAACAACCCCGTGCAACTCCCCCTTGCAGCAACCAGCCTTGCTTCGTGTCCCCCAGGGCTTTATTGAACCTTCAAAACCTAAAACAGGTGGCCAGACACCTTCACAGTATTTGGGTGCTGCTGCCAGAGTGCAGCCAGGAAGAAGAGGAGGAGGAGGTGGAGGAAGAGAAGGAAGAGGCAGAGAAGGGGTGTGAGGGCTCAGGTGCCAGGCAGCCAGACCTTCTGGGTGCTGACAATGTCGCTGAGCTTGGCCTTGATCTTCAGGAAATGCCTCTTGAACTCCAGGCCATCGCCCTGCATGGGGAGAGACAGGGGCTGACATCCCCTGCACCCCTCCCTTCCCTGGCACCCACCTCCCGTGGTCACCCCCACCCTGCACCCACTTTACGTGGTCCTTCCCCACCCTGCACCTGCCAAAAGCTCCCACCACCCACTCTGACCCCCCACACACCTTGGAGAGGCGAAAATCCACCAAAATCTTGCTCTCCATCTCCACCAGGTTCACCTTGAAGATGAGTTTGTTGTTCCTCCTGTCTGTGGTCGAGATGGTGACCTGCAAAGGGGGGGGAATGCCTTGAATGACTCCCTGATGACCCAGCACAGGGGGTGCCAGCCCCAGTTCCATCCCCTGACCCCCACCTGGTTGGTGCAGCTCATCTTCCAGCCATAGCCCATCTTCTCACACACCTCCTTCAGCGCGCGGTAGGAGCCGTCGGCGTCCAGCTTGGTGAAGAACCGCGTCATCCGCTTCACCAGCCGCTGCCACGGGCTCTGCCGCCCCAAAAAAACATTCCAGGGGTCATCAACCCCGCCAAAAGGTCCCAAATCCCACCAGGTTCCAGCCCCAGCTCTGACACATCCTGGCTTTCGGTGAGGAAATGTTGGAAAGCTGCACCCCCTGATGGCACAAGCCAACAACCGCATCCCAAAGAGCAGAAACGCTGCACAGCCACGTCCCAAAGAGCAGAAACGCTGCACAGCCACATCCCAAAGAGCAAAAAGGCTGCACAGCCACATCCCAAAGAGTAGAAACGCTGCACAGCGACATCCCAAACATTGCAAAGTCAGCCCCTGGTATCATAAAATGCTCTTTAGCCACACATAGGATGCAAAGTTGCGCCCCAGTGGTATGAATAGTGCAATGATGGATCCTGATATTGTAAGTTGGATGTGAAGCTGCCTCCCAAATGCTGTACCCTGGAACTGGAAAGCTGTATTTTATTACTCAAAATGCTGCAAAATCGTGCCCCAAATACCACCAGGCTGCACCCCAGGATGACAAACCTTGCCCAGCAGCACCCCAATGCTGCCAAGCTGCTCCCTGATACTGTAAATCAGATGCAAAGTTGCTCCCCAAACACCACAGAGCACTAAGTGCACCCTGATGCCATAAATGATGCACATTTGCACCCCAAATCTTGGGAGGTGGCACCTTAAGATGATAAAACTCACAGTTGCATCCCAGCCTTGTCAAGCTGCTCCCTGATATTCCATATACAGCAAAGTTGCTCTTTAATGTGGTATTTATGATGCAAAGTTGCACCCCAATATTTTACACAGCACAATTTTGCACCCCAGTGCTGTAAATCAGATGTGAAACTGCCCCTCAAGTCTCTGGCAAAGTGACAAACTGACACTACTGCAAATTTGCACCCCAAATCCTTCACCTGACACCCTCAGGTGGTAAATATTCAACAGCACCAACAGTTGCTCCCTGATATTATAAATACAACAAAATTGCTTCTTAATCTTACATGTCTAAGGCAAAGCTGCACCCCAGTAGTATAAAAGGTGCAGCACTGGATCCTGATGTTGTAAACTGGATGAGACTCTGCCCCCCAGATGCTGCAGAGTTGCACCCCAAGCTGATGAACCTCACCCAGCCACACCCCCCACACTGCCAAGCTGCTCCCTGATGTTATAAATTTGGCAAAGCTGCTCCTCATTGTCATATATGGGATGCAAAGTTGCACCCCAGTTTATACAATGCAACGTTGGACCCCAGTGTTGTAAATCAGATGTGAAGCTGCCCCCAAACACACCAAGGCCATGGCAAAGTGTCACCCTGATACTGAAAATACTGAAAAGCTGTGCCCCAAATCCTGCAAACTTGCACCTGAGGTGATAAATAACAAAAAGTTACACCTCCAATATTCCCCAGCAGGCAAAGCTGCACCCCAAGCAGCACAGAGCAGCCCCCAGCCATTGCAAGGTGCACCCTGACACCGTTGTTGATGCCGAGCTGCGCCCCAATCGCCGCGAGGTGAAATCCCAAGAGGATCAACCTCGCCCAGCCGCATCCCAAGCACCGCGAGGCAGCACCCCGATATTCCAAGTGGTGCCAGGTGCCCCCCGCAGCCCCTGACCTGGGAGGAGCCTGGGGTGCCCAGGAGTTGGCTGTTGACCAGCATGTGCTCGGGGCAGGCGGGCTGCGAGAAGCTGAAGCCCTGCACCAGCTGGTCGATGCTTCCCGTGCCACTCTCCCAGGGCAGCCCGCCCGTGCCGGGCTCCGGCTGTGACGTGGAATAGCTTGCCTTGTCCTCACTGCAAGGCAAGGGGGGACACAAGGGTTAGGAGAGCTGCAGAGAGCCCGATGTGGGAACTGCATGGGATTTTGCAGGATTTGGGACGATCGCAGGGGTTGTGCGGGGTTTCCACCCGACCACCTCCTGCAGAAAATGCCGGGAAAGCCCCGAGGCGTGCAAGGAATTGCAAACCCGTGTGGAGGGAAGCAGAGGCTCACCCCAGTGCTCCCTTCACGGGTGAGAAGTCTGTATCGGATCGGATGTGCTTGGAGAAGCCTCCAGGGGAGTCGGTGACTCCCCCCGAGGAGAGCCGAGCCCGCTTGACATCTGCAAAGGGACAGGACACCAAGTAACCCCCAAATCCGGGGGCAGCAGCGCGCTCCCCTGCAGCCCCTTACCCTTTTTGAGGGGTCTGCTGTACCACCGGTCCTTCTGGATGTCAGGAATGGTGATCCTCGCCGTCGGGCTCTCCGTGAGGATCTTGTGCAGCAATGCTGGGGGAGACGAGGGGGTGGAACACAATATGGTGTGTGTGTGGATATGTATGTGTTTGTGTGTATATATAGCTATATATTTGTGTGTATATTAAGGGAGCTGCTGGGTGCCAGGTGCTTACCCAAGGGAGCGGAATCAATCTTCTTCCAAGGTGGGAGGTAGGTTTTCTTCTCCTTCCAGTCACTGTATTCCTGGCAGCTGTCGCTGGGCTGGTCCCAAGGCAGCTCTGCCAGGAGATCCCACTGCTGTCACCCCCAGTGCCACAATCCCCTGGGCACACACGTGGCACTGTGGGGATGTGGTGTGCCAGGTGACCCTGCCCTGCCAGGGATCCTGTGTGCTCCCCATGCATCCCAAACCTCCCTGTGCATCCCATGGTTTCTCACACACATCCCATACCTCTCTATGCATCCCAAACTCCTCCTATGCCTCCTGTACCTCCCCTCTGCCTCTCATACACCCCCCACTACACATCACATACATTCCCCTTCTGCAGCCTTCTATTCCTTCCATACAACCCTATGGATATTCCAGGCATCCCCCTCCATGCATGTCCCATCTCTCTTATGGATCCCACACACTCCATCTCTGTTTCACACATCCCTCCCATCTCATGTGCACCCCTTCCCCATCCCATACATCCCTGGTGCACTCCAGGCACTTCCCCTCACACACTTCACCCGTGCACCCCTTCTGCATTCCACACATACATCCATGCACATTCCACAAACACTCCCCCATGTCCTCTGCACCACTCCTGCATGTCCCCCACACCCCCTGAACACGTCACATGCATTCCATTAATTCCTAGAGATATTCCAGCGTTCCAGCCTCCACAGGCCATGTATCACTGTCTGTGAATTCCATCCATCCCAACATTCCAACCTCCAACCACCATGGCTGTCAGCACATCACCCCCTGTGAATTCCATCCATCCATCCCAACATTCCCACCTCTGGCCATCAGCTTATCATCCTCTGTGAATTCTATAAATCCCAGCACCCCCACCTCTGGCCAGCATGGCCATCAGCACATCACCCTCTGTGAATTCCACCCATTCCCACCTCCAGCCAGCATGGCTGTCAGCATATCACCTTCTGTGAATTCCATCCATCCATCCATCCATCCATCCATCCATCCATCCATCCATCCATCCATCCATCCATCCATCCATCCATCCCATCATTCCCACCTCTGGCCACCAGCACATCACCCCCTGTGAATCCATCCATTCCCACCTCCGGCGAGCACTGCCACCAGCACATCACCCTTTGTGAATTCCATCCATCCATCCATCCATTCCCACCTCCGGCCAGCACTGCCACCAGCACATCACCCCCTGTGAATTCCATCCATCCATCCATCCATCCATCCATCCATCCATCCATCCATCCATCCCATCATTCCCACCTCCAGCCAGCACTGCCACCAGCACATCACCCCCTGTGAATTCCATCCATCCATCCATCCATCCATCCATCCATCCATCCATCCATCCATCCATCCATCCATCCATCCAATCATTCCCACCTCCGGCCAGCATGGCTGTCAGCACCCTCTGTGAATTCCATGCATCCCAACATTCCCACCTCCCATCCAGCATGGCTGTCAGCACCAGGTCACCCTCTGTGAATTCCATCCATCCATCCCAGCATTCCCACCTCTGGCCACCAGCACATCACCCCCTGTGAATTCCATCCATTTCCACCTCCGGCCACCAGCGCATCACCCTTTGTGAATTCCTTCCATCCATCCATCCATCCATCCATCCATCCATCCATCCATCCATCCATCCCAGCATCCCCACCTCTGGCCACCAGCACATCACCCTTTGTGAATTCCTTCCATCCATCCATCCATCCATCCCCACCTCTGGCCAGCATGGCTGTCAGCACATCACCCTTTGTGAATTCCATCCATCCATCCCTCCATCCATCCCTCCCTCCATCCATCCATTCCCACCTCCGGCCAGCATGGCTGTCAGCACCACGCCGCAGGCCCAGACGTCGACGGGCTCTGCGCGGAACTCGGGGCGCCGCAGCAGCTCGGGGGCCACGTAGGGCAGGGTCCCGCACATCTTGTTCAGCAGCCGCTCCCGCCCGTTGTGCCGGAACACCGTGGCCAGACCGAAATCTGAGATCTTCAGGTTGTCTGGGCCCAAACAGAAGCAAAGCCGAGTTAAAACTTTAAATCAAAAGTCAAAATTAACCCACCCCCGCAACAAAATTAATGAAAAATGCAAGTTCAAATTGAAATAGAAATCAAAATGTACGTAAAAGTTTTATTTATTAATTCAAACTCAAAATTTGTTTAAAAATTTGAATTGAAAGTAAGCTTAAAATGAAAATTCAAGTTAAGATTTTAAAGTTCTAAGTTTAAAAGTTGACTTAAAATTTGAATTAAAGTACCAATAAAATTAAAAGAAATTCAAACTAGAATTTAAACTTAAGATTCTAAAGTTCTAGGTTTAAAAGTTGACCTGAAAATTTGAATTAAAATACAAATGAAATTAAAAGAAGAAATTCAAATAAAAGCTTAAATTAAGAAATTAAGCTAAAAAATATGTAAAAAATTTTTAAATTAAAAACGTAAAGGAAAATTTAATTCAGAATAAAATTGGACCCTTACATTAAAAAATCAAATGCAAAATATAAGCATTTAAATTAAAGCTTTAAATTGAACACTCAAATAAAAAAATACAAATTAAGAAATGAAAACTTAATGGAGGTCGGAGAGGGACACGCCTGCCCCCACCTCGCTCGTCCAGCAGCAGGTTCTCCGGCTTCAGGTCCCGGTGCGTGATGCCAATGCTGTGCAGGTACACCTGAGGAGCAGGGGAGGGGCAGGGCTGAGTGGGAATCATGGCAAGGGTCAGGGGTCAGCACCATGTGGGAATCACGGCAAGGGTCAGGGGTCAGCATGGTGTGGGAATCATGGCAAGAGTCTGCACCGTGTACAAATCATGGCAAAGGTCAGTGCCACGTGGGAATCATGGTAAGGCTCAGTGCTGTGTGGGAATCACGGTAAGGGTCAGCATGGTGTGGGAATCACGGCAAGGGTCAGTGCCATATAGGAATCACGGCAAGGGTCAGTGCCATGTAGGAATCATGGTAAGGATCAGGGGTCAGCATGGTGTGGGAATCATGGCAAGAGTCAGCACCATGTATGAATCATGGCAAAGGTCAGTGCCATGTGGGAATCATAGCAAGGGTCAGTGCCATGAGGGAATCATGGCAAAGGTCAGTGCCATGTGGGAATCATGGTAAGGGTCAGTGCCATGTGGGAATCATGGCAAGGGTCAGCGCCATGTAGGAATCACGGCAAGGGTCGGTCAGTCACTGCCATGTAGGAATCATGGCAAGGGTCAGTGCCATGTGGGAATCATGGCAAGGGTCAGTCAGTGCCATGTAGGAATCACGGCAAGGGTCAGTGCCATGTAGGAATCATGGCAAGGGTCAGTGCCATGTGGGAATCACGGCAAGGATCAGCACCATGTAGGAATCATGGCAAGGATCAGGGGTCAGCACCATGTGGGAATCATGGCAAGAGTCAGCACCGTGTACGAATCATGGCAAGGGTCAGTGCCATGTGGGAATCACGGCAAGGCTCAGAGGGTCAGTGCCGGGCAGGAATCACCGCTGGCACCCGCGGCATTGCCGCTGCTGAGCACTCACCACGCCGGCAATCAGCTGCTGGAAGAACCGCTGCGCCTCTGGCTCTGGCATCCCGACATCCGGCTCTGCACGTGGGGAAGAAGAGGGGAAGAGCAGTGCTCAGCGGTGTGGGGATGACAATTTAGGATGCCCCGCTGCCCCTACATCCCCGGGTAGCCCATGCCGCACCGATGCGGTCGAAGAGCTCCCCGCCGCGGCAGTACTCCAGGAACAGGTACTGCGTGGCCCCCTCCCGCCGGTGTCCGTAGAACCGGACGACGTTCTCGTGGCTCAGCATCTTGTTGATGCAGATTTCCTTCTTGATGTTCTCCGGGCACTCGGCCGCGCGCTTCATGTCCACGATTTTCACGGCCACGGCCTCCTCGGTGCGGCGGTTCACGGCCAGCTGCACCCTGCGGTGGGCACGGAACAGGGAATGGGTATGGGAGCGGGCATGGGAATGCTTCCCCCAGTGACAGGCAGCAGGCAGGGAATGGGGAGAAAATTCTGCCTCTGAAGATGGCAGCAGGCAGGGAATATTGCCACTGGAGGCAAGGAACGGGCAGGGAATGGGCAGCAAATGGTGCCCCTGGAGACAGGGAGAGGGCAGGAACAGGCAGGGAATGCAGGCACGAGGAGGTGCACGATGGGCACACAGGGGTGCAAGGGGGTGTGATGGGCGAGCAGTGGGCACACAGAGGACGTGCCACAACCGGAGCGGGCACACAGTGGGCATGTGATGGGCGAGCAGCGCGGACTGGGCAAGCTGTGGGCGGACACACGGCATGTAATGGCCAAGAGAGGAGCAAACAGCGGGCACGCAGTGGCCGTGCAGAACCACGCAGGGACAAACAGGAGATGTGCAAGTGGCACACGGGGGGCAGAGGGGACAGCGGCCGCGCAAGGGGCAGGGCAGGGGCGTGCAAGGGGCGGACCCGGCCGGCAGCAACCCCGCGCCCCCCGGCCCCGCCGCACTCACTCCCCGTAGGCGCCTTCGCCCAGCGTCTGCACCAGGTCCCAGTCCTCCACGAAGGGCACCGCCATCCCTGGCCCCGGGCCCGCTCGGGGCCGCGATCCGGTCCCGGTCCCGGAAGCGGCCCGGCCACGCCGCCCTTTCCCGCCACGGCCGCGAGCCCCGCCCCGCCCTGCGCGCGCACGGCCCAAGCCACGCCCACACAGCGTCCAGGCCCCGCCCTCACCTGGAATCCCGCGCCCATTACAGGCCCCGCCCCCGCTCCCCGCCCCTATTTACATTCAAATCGGTTAAAAGCAGCTGAACGGCCCCAACGCCGCTCTGACAGAATTCGGGAAGAAACCCTCCAAACTGATTTTTATTTATTTGTATTCTTTACAATTCCTGGTCAATCAGCCCCGATGAGAGCCGCAATTCTGATTTGGCGACGGCTCCGTGTGTATATAAAAATCACTCCCGGCAGGACGGGGCGGGCAGGGTCCTCCCGCCGCTGCCTGCGCTTACAAACGGTATAAAACAAACCCGAAAGAGCCCCCCTCGAACCCCCAGCAAACCCCCGAATCTCTGCTGCACAGGCAAGGCTGGGTCAGTGCGGTGTCTGGCGCGGCCGGCGCCGGCCCCTCTACGTCCTCGACAACCCGCGGTTGTCCAAATCTTTCACCTGGGCAGTAAAAGAAGGTTCATTAGGTACAATTCCATGTTTTTTTTCCCAAACTGAGCAGGTTTGGGCTCACTCTGGTGCCATACCTTGTATATTCGGACCAGCCAGTGCTCTGTGGTGTACGCCTCCTCCAGCACGTCCAGCTCAAAGTCCTTGTTGCCGATTTCAGCGTTCCTCACCCGGTCATAGCCTGGTGGTCGCTCTAGGAGAGAGGAAAGCACAGGCAGTGCTGCTGCATCGCCCCCAGAGATGTCAGGGTGCAGGTGGCCCCCCAAAGCAGTGCCACGCCCCGGGGCTGACTCAGGGACTCACTGGCCTCAGTGTAGACCTGGCCGAAGCGGTAGTAGCACATCTTGTACATGAGGCAGTTGAGCAGCACTGGGGAGCCCTCGCGGTCCACGCGGAACTCCCCGGTGGGGGTGTAATAGTCGTGCTCCTTGATGTGCCTCCCCGTGTCCGTGCTGCCCCCGATCCGCACCATCCACAGGAACTTGTTGATGTCTGCAAGGCAGAGAGTTGGGGGGCAAAGAATGAGGGCTTGAGTTGATTTGGGGGGCCAAGAGCAAGGGGTTGAATTGGGGTGAAAGAACAAGAGGTTGGGATGAGGTAAAAGAATGAGGAGCCAAGTTGAGCGGGGGAGCCAGGAGGGCGGGTTGAGGTGATGTGGGGGGGCCAAAAGCAAGGTTGAGGGAGAGCTCCAAAGAGGAGCATTCTGGCCCCATTTTCACTCTACAGCCCCAGCTAGAGCTGGGATTCTGCCACCAGCACCCCTGGCTGGTCTGACCCGGCTCACGGCAGGATCTTACCGTCCGATGAGTACCCGGTGAGGCCGCCAAAGATCACCAGCACGTAGCTGACGTCCAGCTCCCTCATGATCTCGTAGGCTTTCTCCTCCGTCGATGCCATGGCCTGGGGCAGATGTGGAGTCAGCCAGTGCTGATGTGGTGCCCAGAAAGGCTGGCCAAGGCAGCAGGGGAGGGAGGGACCCACCTGGCCAACGCGGGAGATGTGCGTGTTGTTCCAGGTGTTGTTGTCCACCAGGATGGTCCGGTTGGCCATGGCAGTGATCTGGTACCCGTAGTCCCACCAGGACATCACCTTGGCATCCTGCACCAAACATGGCCAGGCATCAGTGTCTCAGTGGGCAATGTGGGGTGCCCAAGGCCCCAACACCCCATACTGTCACAGACACATTTTATGAAAAATCCTTTCCTTAGGATTTTTTCTCCTGAGAAGCTGAGAGGCCTCAGGAACAAAATGCAAACAATGGTTATCTGCTGCTGTGAAATGCAACAGGTGCATCTGTGATTGGTCTCATGAAGATGTTTCCAATTAATGGCCAATCACAGTCAGCTGGCTTGGACTCTCTGTCCGAGACACAAGCTTTGTTATCATTCCTTCTTTTTCTATTCTTAGCTGGCCTTCTGATGAAATCCTTTCTTCTATTCTTTTAGTATAGTTTTAATATAATGTACATCATAAAATACTAAATCAAGCCTTCTGAAACATGGAGTCAGATCCTCATCTCTTCCCTCATCCTCAGACCCCTGTCACACACCTCTGGCGTGTTGTGCCGCAGCCAGTAATAAGCTTCTCGGAAGTCATCGAAGATGATCCTGCTGCCATCGCCACCGCGGGCAGAGAGGACGATGGAGGGGGAGGAATAGGCCTCGCTGGTCACCCAGGTGGAGTGGAAGGTGTAGGTGATCAGGAAGAACGCCATGACCAGGATCATGCCACTGGCAACCTGTGGGAACAACCCAGGGTCTCAGCACTGGAGGGATGGGGCTGTCAGCCTCCTGCACTCAGCCTTTCATCAGCATCTTCCCAAGCTGGCCTGGTGCTCACCTCATTTTTAATGGGGTAGGTGGAATCCTGCTGCTTTTTGCTCTTCTTGTCTGGCCGGCTGATATCCAGGTTCTTCATGTAGGTGGACAACACCTGAGAGACCCCAATGCCAGACAGGATGCACATCACCGGAGCCAGCACCAGCATGAGACGCACCTATGGCAACAGCAGAAGGGTTGGAGAAGGAATCCAGCAGAAATCCAGGGGAAGAGGGATGCCATTCCTAATCCAGCACCTCAAATTCAGTGGATATATCAGCCTTGGGATAAACCTGTGGCTGGTTTTTTAGTGGGGAGCTGCCACCATCTCAGACATCCCCAAGGGAAATTCCCCAAAATGCTCAAAATTGGCCCACATGGGAAACTGAGGTCACTTCAGCAATCTTAGGTGGAATCAAGGACAGGTAGCTGCATCCACACCAGAACTCAACCACATTTAGTGTTCAGGGCACCACAGGAAGAGTGGAAATGGGCTCATCAGTGATTGTTTGTCAGCGGTCCCTGCCTGAAAACCCAGAGAATTTGTCTGAGATTGCACTGGGTGCTCTGGGAGATCAGGAACCCTGACCAGGCTGGCCCCAGGGACACAAGTCACACCCAAACCACTGAGTTTTGCAACTTCACCTTCCCTCACTACAGAAGGGCAAAACAAAACCACATTTATGGAAAGGAGAAAAGCCCTCAGGGTGAAAGAATCATCACTAAGTTCAGAAAAACAAATTAAATTGTTATGAGCACTCGGAGGCAGTGCTGGTGCCCGCAGCCCTCACCATGACAGCTGAGAAGTACATGCTGGTCACCCCGTACATGATGATGAAGATACGGGCATCCGAGAGGTTGCTGAAGCAGTAGTAGAGACCAACTGTGAGAGGGGAAAAAGGGGTCAGGTTCAGCTCAGAGATGAAATAAAACCAGGCACTGAGGGACACAGAAGGCTCAGTACAGCCAGAAGAGGCAGGAAAGCCCTCTGGTGACTAACTCAGGATCTGGCAACTCACCTGGGAACATGAAAACAAGGAGCTGCAGGTCGAAGTAGTAGGAGGACCAAGTGGTGGGCTGGTGCTCAGAGACAGAGGCAATGATGGGGATGTTGTTCTTGGCATAGGAAGGGTCCAGCAGGGAATAGAAACGCCCTGTCCATGGGGAGATTTTCCCTAGGAAAGTGGAGAAAACAAATCCTCTTTGGATCCAGCAGAGTAAGGGGAAATGTTGACACACATTCTCCCAGGGAAGCACATGTGAGGCTGAATGAATGATCTCAGACCTCATTTAGAATCTCTACTACTCAAACCTGCCATTTTAGAAAGGAAATACAATGCAATTTCGCTCTAAAATATCTCCTCCCTGCTCAACCTCTACCTTTAGCATCTCTTTGCTACTACAGACCAACAACCAGTATCTGCAGCACCAGCCTGGTGTCCCCAGAGTCTCTGCCCCTCCTATCTTACAGCTGCTGCTTAAATATTCCTTGCTAATGCACAAACTCAGGCAGGTCTCAACCTCCCCTTTCGAGGGACTCACAGCACTGGCACCACAGAAACACAGAGTTAGGATGGACAAATTCCATGCCTTGGGAAGCAAGGAAAGAGGGTGAAACACCCTTGTAATGGCCACAGCCTCAGGCTACCTGTGAGCATCAGCACGGCGCCGACGGAGAGGAGGACGAAGCCGACCAGGGAAATGACACTCCTGAAGAGGATTTCAAACTGCTGTGGGTTCAGCTTGCTCCGGAGGTAGTCCACAAAGGCATGGATCTGGCACAGGCCGAAGACTCCAAGGGCAGCCATGTGCTCTGAGGAGAGAACAGGCTGGGAGGGGGGCAGAGCGTGGTCAGACACAGAGATGAACAGGAGCCATTACTGGCTTTTTTCACAAATCACTGCTTGGCACAATCTCTGCCAGCCACAGGAAAACGTTCAAATGTTCCCTCCCTGTGACTGGCACAGCTGGCATCAGCTCTTTTCCTACATCCGCTTTGATTCTGATAAGAATCCATGTGGAAAATTAACCAGATTCTCTTGAAAACATGAGCTGGGCAGGCCTGTTTCCTGCCATACCAAGACACACGTGGCATGAGTGCTTCCTCCACCAAAACCAAAGATATTTTTATGAAAGACAGCGGTGCCAGGAAGGGTATTAGGTTATTAGGTGGGGTATTAGGTTATTGGGTGCTTTGAAGGTTATTAAATACTTTGAAAGTCATCCAGCACAGCCAAAGGCTCATTTTGCCAAAGGTGGCAACGAATCAGCATAATGGAGGTGGGAACAAGGAGTCAGCACCCACTCATAACCTCAGTGATGAAGGGCAAGAAGTAAAACCAGGTGTCAGCACGCTGCTGGTCTGTCAGAACCCATGCCTGAGTCTGCAAACCCTCCTGGTGCCCACCTGGAAGCCAACAAAGGAGATCTGCATGGAGAGGATGGTTCCCAAGCAGTAGACTGTGCAATAGGCTACGTAGATCCTGTGGGAGAAGCGCCCGGTGAGCATCAGCACCAGCACGTGCAAGGGGATGAGGTTGATGAGGAAGACGTAGCCACCCCACGAGGAGACCTGCCAGGACACAAAGGAGACACACACCCACAACTTCCAGGACTGAACAGCTGCAGAGCTGAGGTGAAACACAGAGGTTTAGCTTTCCTGGGATTATGGGCAGGATTTTCACACAGTAGTAACACCAGCTGGAATCTGCTCTATCTTAGATCTGCTCTATCCTCCACCCCCCAGCTGCCAGAAACATGGATTTTTCAACACTATTAAGAACACCTCACACAAAAGCTGCTAGTTTTGCAAGAAAGGAGCCATTCCCTTTCCACTTGCAGAGGTTCTAGCTCTCTGGACACACTGACACAGGAACAGCACACCATGGCTTCCTGGTGAGTGCATCCAGAGGGATCTCAGAGTCAGGGTTACCCCAGAGCTGGGGGAAGGGACACTCACCATGTAGAAATAGGCGAGGGCACACATGGCTGCCCAATAGATGGAGCCAGTTTTGACAGCCTTGATCCACATGTAGTAGGTCAAGAGCATGCAGAATATGGCAATACCTGTGGAAGGACCCAGAGCTGTTAATGCAATCCCTGGGGCACGGCAGAGAACTCAAGCCATTAAAAACAGATCTGTAAATGCTTTTGCTGCTCCATCACACAAAGAACCAGGCCTGGGAAAAGCATTTGATATCTGGTTTCTAGACTGGAACACTGTGGTGTTTGTGTCTAACAGCTCACGTGGCTTCTTCCAGCCACACCAGCTGGAAGAACTCCTACACAGCCCCCAAAAGCCCAGCTACAGCAAAGGAGCCAGGATCCTCCTCTGCCCCAGGCTATGGCAGTGAGATTGCTGCCTTTGCCAGTCCAAACGTCACTGCTGGAACAGGGATAAAAGCACAGAGGAACCACAGTAGCTCCAGTTCCAGGGAGAGCTTGGGGAGGTGACAAAATCCTTTCTGACTGCCAAACAAGGATACTGGAGTAAACTTGCTGCCAGAGTTGGGAGACACTCCCTCTACTCCATAGCATGGCCAAAAATCATCTCTGATCTCCGATGGGTCAGGTTTGTTCAGCACAAACCCAGCAAGGATCACCAGGAAAGGACAGAGCCTCTCTTGTGCTCTGCGGCATCTTCCAGCACCACTTTCCAGCACCCAATCCACTTCTTCCTAGTAGCCACCCTATTCCTCCTATTCAACCTAGAAATTGTCCTAACTCCTCCCACTACCATGAGCCACCCAACTACAATTTCCCACTGCCACCCTAACCTGAACCTCCTCACTCATCTTCCTCCTTACACTAGGGCTAGTATACGAATGAATCCAAGGTGGGTTAGAATGAGCAGAATAACAGAAATTTAGTCTAACTAACACAGTTGATTTTGACTCAACAAATTTAGCTTCCACCCTTTATGTCCTGCCTCCATCTAAGCTTCTACTCAGCCTTCACCCTAAGCAGCCTAGGTTTAGCCTTCCACCAAACTCACCTGATCTCAGCTTAAAGGTTTCCCTGAGGACCACAAACTCACCTTCATTATCATAGGAGCCAGCAACAGACCGAGAGATGTATCCAGGCACAACAGCAATCATGGCAGCAGCAAGGAGTCCTGCCCCTGCATCCTGGGAAAAACAGCCAGGGAAGAAACATCTGGGTTTAGGGATTTTATTGCTAAAAAGAACAAAACTTGTGCGTAGAAACAAAGCTTTCAAACAGATCTGTCATTTCCCAGAAGGCTGGGGTTTTGAGGAGTGTGGCGTTCACCTCCAAACCTCTGACCCAGCTGCTCTCCCAAATGGCAAACAGCTCCCACTCCTCTGGAAAGCCAAAGCCTGCAGGGCACACCCTGCTGGCCCCTGTACCTTGAGCTCTTTGGTGAGGTGGTAAGTCACAATGGTGGTGAAGGAGGAGAAGAGGGGAGCCAGGAACACGCAGACGTTGCGGATGTCGATGGTGATGTGGAAGAAGTGCAGCACGTGGTAAATCGCTGCTGATGTGATCATCAGGCCTGGGGATGGAAATGACACCGTTATCAGGGTGCTCCAGACTCACCAGGAGGGAGCTGCTGCCAAGGATGCATCCCCCCAGCTGGCACTCAGGGATGCAGTTCCCCCCTGATTTTCCCTCACACCAGGTGCATTTCAGCTTGGCAAAGCTTTACCTGGGTAAATGGTTCCCCCGATGATCCTGCCCAGGGGGTACCATGCTCGGTCATCAAACCAGTTGTGGAATTTGTAGAAGCCCTCCTCAGCCAGGAAGCGGGTGGTGCGGTAGTTGAAATACCTGCAAGGGTGACAGGGTGTGACAGCACTGTGGGGGCTGCTCATGTGTTCCATGCACAGAGAACTGGCCCAGTTTCCCTCAGCTGCTCCAAATCTCAGCTGCAAAGGTTCACTCCTCCTCCCAGTGGGCCTAATAGTATGTTTACAAAGGTGACAGTGCCCCTTGGGACTGATTCAATCAGCAACAAGCTTGGGACAGACACAAATCGTGGCAGGAGCTCTCTCTCCTGCTGCGCCCAGGTCAGGAGTAACTACATCCCAGGAGAAAAGCAACAGCAGGTGATTGTTGGATCTGGGCTTGGATCTGGATACTGACATAAATCATGCCAGGAGCTCTCTCTCCTGCTGTCCGGAGTAACCACCTCCCAGGAGAAAAGCAACAGCAGGTGATTCTTGGATCTGGGCTGCAGGAAGAGCCCTGGGTCCAAGCAAATTTGGGTGTAGAAGAGAAAAACCAAGCTGTACTGAAACATGTCCTCCACATCCCACATGCTCAATGGGGATTAAATTGAGCCTGGCACCATTACTGAATTCCATGTGCTCCAGAACAGGAAAAGCCCAACAGGCCCCCAGGAAATGAGGAAACGACACTTACGGGTCAAACTCATGGATGACACTTTCAAATCTTAGGACGGAGAAAAGTCTCGTGGAGAAAGCTGCAAACAGAGAAGGGGCAGAGTGAACACACAGAGCTCATGAGTTACCCTCAGTATTCCTGCATCAGGAGCCATCCCTGAGGACACAGACTTACACAGGACAGCTGCCATGGACAGGATGAGGAGCTTGAGCAGCGTGTCCTGCTTCTCATAGGAGAGCCGGAGGAACCCCAACTTGGTCATTTTCACATCAAATGCAGGGCCTGAGGATCCCTGAACGCCTGGACACAGTCAGGAAGATCAAAAGCCTTTAAAGCCTTCATGAGCCTTTGGACTTCAAATTCCCCCCTCTGGCCCAGCCTTCACCCCTGCCAGGTGCTTGTGCCTCCCCCCACAAACCTCTCACCTCCTGTCCTGATCTGAGCTGTCACCCCAAACCCTGGCTGGTTTTCCTTCCTTTAGAGAGCCCAGAACTTCTCCGGGGCAGAGGACACGCCTGTTTCTCTGTGCACAGAACAAAACCACAGGGTAAACTTGAGCAAAACCCCTGCCCTCCCTCTGGATGCTCTCTGAAGTTTAACCATCACCTGCAAGCAATGCACAAAAAATAGAATCCATGGAGAATGCAAGAAATGGGTGCTTTTTCTCACACACAGGAGATGTGAATGGCTCCTGGTTACCCCCAGTTTGGATCACTTTGATCAAAATGTATTTATACCCCAGTTATTTGTAAATGCAGATCAGGACAGCAAATTGGTTTTGCTCACACCAGACAACGTGGCTGTTTAATTCAATCTCCCTGAGGGGAAGGAAAGCCACAGAAACCCTGGGGTTGCAAACCAAGGAAGTGACACTCTTACTGGAGAATCACAGCTTTAACATCTTTCTACCCTGAAAACACTCAGATTTCTTCAAATCGTTTCTTGCCCCATCAGTCAGGAAAACCTCTCCCACTGCTCCGGGCAGGCTCGGTCCCAGCACGGGTGGGTAAATGTGCAGCTCACGTCTCTGAGCTACAACACCAGGCAGGACACAGTGGGACAAGCTGAGATTTAAAACCCAAACAAACCGGGTCTGGAAGACCTTGCTGTGCCCAGAAGTGATTCCGACTGGCGCACGCTGGGCACTGCCTGGTGCAGAAACACCGGTGGTGGTTATTTCCTGGATGCCCTGCGACAAGGGAGCGCAGTGCAGGCGCCTGCGGGCACCAGCGGCTCTGCCCCGGGGTGCCCCGATGTCCTCGGGGGGGACCCCTCACCCCCCAGGAACTGCCCTGACACGGAGCATTCCCGAACCCCGCGCTGCCCCCGCCAGGCTCCAGCCCCAGAGCAGCCCCAGGGTCGCAGCCCTCACGCCTGGGACCGCTCAACCCCCGCGCTCCCTCTCCTCACACGGCGGGCACCCTCCAAGGCCCGGGCACCCCGTGACCCATCAGGCCCCTCACACCCCGCAGCCCGGGCACCCCTGCACCTGCAGGCCCCAGGACCCGCAGCTCCCCCGGCCCCGCTCGGCTCCCGGCTCCGCTCCCGGTGCCGGTCCCGTCCCTCACCGCGGCCCCGCCGCCCCGTCCATCCGCCCCGCGCAGCCGCCCTGCTGCCGCCGCCGCCAGCCCGCGCCCCGCCCCCGCCCGCTTCCCATTGGCCGGCGCGCACGCCACTCCAAGCGCGGCCGCGCTCATTGGCCAAAGCACCGAATACTCAATCGAGCGGGGCGGCGTGTGAGGAGCACGGCGCCTCCCCATTGGTGGAGTGGGAGGTGGGCGGTGCCGGCGGGGAACGAGCCGTGACGTGTCCGTCCGGGTTGGCGGGGCCGGAGGGTCACGTGGCCGGAAGCGGAAGCGCGCCTGGCCACGTGGGCGGCGGAACCACCGGGGGGGCGGGGGGAGCCCGGCCTGGGAACCCCGCCCGCAGGAACGAGAGCGGCAGAACAGAAGGGCTGAGAATCGTGGTCTCTCCGTTTAATGTTTCAGTGTGAAAATACTAGAGAAAAGTTGATAAACCGGCCCGAAATATCCAAAGGGGTCTGAACGTCACCGGTTCCTTCCCCGACCCGACAGAAACGGTACATGCACGGCAGGGGGACGCTGTGCTCGACGGCAGCGGGAGCTCCCGGAAATGCCCGCCCCCCTCCCACGACCTGAGTTAGGGGAGATGGAGGGAGCGGGAAGGGGGACGAGGGGCAGGGGACACGGGGGAGACACGGGAGGGACACAACGGCAAAATGGGTGACGGGCTTGCGACCCACGGCCCGAGCGGGGACATGGCACGGGAAAGGCGTACAAAAGAGTCCACTATAAAACAAGCGCAGGGCACAACCCGGCTCCTGGAAACTCACAAAGGTGTTAAAAACCCAGATTTTTTCCCCCAAAAAATTTCCAGGGGGAGACGCAGAACTGACAGTGACACCTCGTCAGGCTGGGTCCTGCCCGTCCCTGGAGATCGGGGGCGCAGAGAAGCCCGTGGGGGTCCCCCCTCCCCGGGCTCTGGGGGCAGCTCAGTGCCCCGGAGCAGCCGCGTGTTTGGCAGGAGAGGGCGAGGAGGAGGAGGAGGAGGAGGGGGAGGAGGAAGCACCGCTCAGGGCGGACTGAAGGTAAACGGTCTTGTGAAAGAGTCTGTTGCTGAGGAAAACCACCAAGGAGAAGAGACGGAGCTGGAAATGGCTGAAAGGGAAGAGAGTCCATCAGCTCTGGATGCCAGGAGCACCCCCGCTCCCGGTTTTGGGGAGCACTGGGGGAGGCTGGGGGTGCTGGACAGGGGTCAGGGAGTGGGTGGCACTGAAGGATACTCACTAGGTTTTGCCGGGGGTCCTGGCTTCGTTGGCGCTGATGATGAAGAGAGGGAAAAGGATGGAGAAGAGGCAACCGCTGCAAGGGAAAAATACGATAAAATAAAATAAAATAAAATAAAATAAGGGGCACTCGGTGGGTGTCAGGAGGAGGAGGAGGAGGGGCCAGAGTGGCTTTCCCACCTGATGATGTAGGAGGACTGCATGGCTGTGAGAAATGCCAGGGGCAAGCCAAAGCCGAAGTAGTAGGGCCAGTTCCTCTCGATGTTGGACAACCGTTGGTGCATTTCAATTCCTGCCAAGAGGAGAATCCTATGGAAATGAACCCTTGGGGAGGAGACACCCTCACTGCAGATTCACAGAACCATTTAGGCTGGAAAAGATCTCCAATCACCTCCTTTGACCAATCCTCACCTTGTCCAGAGACCAGAGCACTGAGTGCCACATTCAGTCACCTCCTGAACAACTCCAGGGATGGGGACTACACCACCTCCCTGGGCAGCCCCTTCCAATGCCTGACCACCCTTTCAGTGAAAAAATTCATCCTGAGCTCCAACCTGAACCTCCCCAGCACAGCCTGAAGCCATGTCCTCTCATCCTGTCACTTTTTCTGTGGGAGCAGAGCCTAACCCCTCCGGCTGTCCCCTCCTGTCAAGGAGTTGTGCAGAACCAGAAGGTCCCCCCTGAGCTTCCTTTTCTTCAGGCTGAGCTCCCCCAGACTCTTCACCAGCTCTGTACTCATCTCTGGACATGCTCCAGCCCCTCAACGTCCTTCTTGTCCTGAGGGCCCCAGAACTGGACACAGCACTCAAGGCCTCACCAGTGCCCAGCACAGGGGCACAGGCAATGCCCTGGGGCTGTGCCCACACTGGGGCTGGTACAGGCCAGGTACCACTGGCCTTCTTACCACCTGAGCACTCTGCTGGCCCACATTTACCCTTCATCCCATATAAAAACTGATGGAAGATCAGTGTCTGACACCCCAATTGGATGCTCCTTCAGTAGAGAAATGCTCAATCCAGGCAAGCTCCCCCTTTCCATGCAGGAGCCTCCCTCACCTTTGTTGAACCAGCGGTACTCGAAGCAGTAGAGCGAGTAGAGCAGCGACATGTGGAGGAGGCTGATCAGCTGCCCAATGAGGTCAATAGGGAACAGGCTCACGATCATTCCCTGGGACAGAAAAGGAGCAGATGGAGGGAGGGATGCTCAGATTTGGGGCAGGGCAGCCCTTGAGCTGTGGGGTCTTGTCTCACCTGGATGAGGAAAAGTGCCTGCAGCAGGAGGTTGAACAACATGTCAGCGATGATTTTGCTGACGCTGGGGAAGGGGTGAGGCTTCCTGCCCGACACTTCGAACGCCAGGTCTGCGATGTCCTGCCAGCACAGACACGGGCTTCAGGCTAATGGAACCCCAGAGCAATGGGGGCTCTTCAGGGAAATTAAACTCAGGGTGATGCTCCTGAGCTGTCTTTGCCCACCAGGAATATGCCCAGAGCCTGTTTTGGGGCGGGATTTCATCCTGTGCTCCCACACCACCTGATCAAGCCCCACCCAGTGAGGAAACGCCCCATGTTTGCTCAAGGCAGGGCCCAGGTTCCTGTCACCCACCTGAAACCAGATGGCATTGACCACCTTACTGAGCACAAAGAGGGGCAGGACCCAGAGAGCGCTGAAAATGGAGGTGAGGATGAACTCCAGCCAGGACCAGACATCACCATGTAAGGAAGGGTCACCTTTGGAAGAGAGACAGAGAGGCACACGTGAGGAACTGGTGTAGGAACCTCCAAATGCTTCCTGGCACAGCCAACAGGGAGTTTCTCCTGACTCTAGTTCTCTAAAAGCACATTTCCACCCACTTGGTTTATATTTAAATGGAAAAACACACAGACAAATGTGTTTGAAATGGCAAGACCCCCAGGCTGGATCCCTGGTGTGTACAGCAGGGTGATCCATCCCTGATTTTCCACTAGACAATTAATGATGGGATTGGTTGATTCTGGGAAGAAGAGGAAAACAACACAAGGAGACAGAGGTGTGAGGAACAGCTCAATGGGACAAAGACCCTGAACTCATCCATCCCATGGACTGCTGAGCAGCCTGGAACCCCCAGGGGGAAAGGCACCCACCGATGATCTGCGCCGTGACCGACTGAAGGACGGGGATGAACACTCGGTAGAACAAGAAGAGACTAAGCTGCAGGGAGAAACAAAAAAGGAACCTCAGTGAGGCACTGCACAGGCATTTTGTGCTCCTGTGGTGGCTACAGATCCAAAGGCACATGTGCCTCTCCTCTCCCAACAATCCACAAATAGAGAGGAGCAAGGATTTCTGTTTAAATGCGGCCACAATCTACAGCTGAACACTCTAACATTTCCATGCCCATCCCTGTAGCCATGGTATTTTCTGAAAAATCCTTTCCTTAGGATTTTTTTTCTCCTGAGAATCTGAGAAGCCTCAGGAACAAAATGTAAACAATGGTTATCTGCTGCTGTGGAATGCAACAGGTGGATCTGGGATTGGCCATTAATTAGAAACAACCACGTGAGACCAATCACAGCCCAGCTGTCCAGACTGTCTTGGTCAGTCACAAGCCTTTGTTATCATTCCTTTTCTATTCTTAGCCAGCCTTCTGATGAAATCCTTTCTTCTATTCTTTTAGTATAGTTTTAATATAATATATATCATAAAATAATAAATCAAGCCTTCTGAAACATGGAGTCAACATTCTCGTCTCTTTCCTCATCCTAAAACCCCTGGGAACACTGTCACACATCCCTCGTACTCTGCACCAGTGTAATGAGAAAATGAAGCCATTTATTTGGTTATTTGATTTATAAAGTGTTGGCTCCATTAAGGATCAGCCCTATGAACCAGGCATAGCAAGTCAGAGCCGAGGAAATGTCTTTAAGATGTCAATATCCAATTGGCAAAACAGTATCCCAGGCTGCAGCAAAGCAGGAATTGAATGTTCAGGAGAAGTCTCAAAGACTTGGAAAAGCAGCTTGGGTTTCATGTGTTGATCTCTTGAGTAAGTCTGTGGTCCTGTATCCCATAGTGAATCCCTTAAAATACAGCATTGGGATGGGAATGTGGTGGTTCCCAAAAATTCCTGCTGCCATGCTGATGGCTCACCACTCACAGCCTAGGAGGGCTGGAGCAGCACGTGGGTTTTCAAATAAAAGCTGTAATAAATAAGAACAATCTCCACATACCCAGAAGACACCTCCATTCCAGGCACAACACTGAAATATGCGGCTCACTATCCGGGGTTCACTGTGGGAGAGAGGCGTGTTAATGTCCCAGCACCTGGAGAAATGTTCCCTCACAAGTGCCAACTGCTTCTGCCCCACGTTTTGGACACCTTGGAAAAGTCACCAAGAACCAGCTCCACACCAATTGTGCACCTGATTTTATCCAAACACAGAAATTCTGGAAGGAATCTCTGCACAGGTTCACACCATGTCTCAGCCAGGGCAGTCTCTGCAAGACTTACATCAGGGAGACTCTTTAAATCTTTATTAATTCCCAAAATCTGCACTGAAACAGAAGAAAAGCAAAGCTTTCTTCCAGATCTTCAAGCACATATTGTAGATCTCAGGCTCTGTTCTCCCCAAACTCTTGCCACAATAAAACTGTGAAATTTTGGGCATGTTTTAGTCTCAGAAGAGGCTGTTTCAGCTCAGGATGGTTTTGGTGTCTATTTGGACTTGCAAGAGCAGCTCTGTGGGACTTTGCAGCACTTTCCCAGTCAGCTCTTGACTCCAGAATGATTTTGCTATAAAGAAAACCACCAAAATTCAGCTATTT